CCCACCCCCAATCCTCCAGACTTTGCTTTGTCGCCTTTGTTTATTCACATATTTTGTTATTCTGTTCCATCCCAGTGCTATGATTTGTAATGTAGACTGACCCGCAAAGAGAAATATGTGTAGTGGGGATTTTCTAGCCATCTAGGGCGGTGTGATTGTACATGAAAGAAAAGGAATCAAAGAGGGCTTTGGTGACTACATTTGAAAAATCTCAGATTATGCAAATGTACTGTTGATGAAGTGTGTGAAATATGATGATTGTTAACTGGTGTCTGTGATGTAGTGAGTAGGCGCTTCGCTGTTGCCAACAGGAGACCGGAGTTGGATACGCGAGTAGGGGAGAAAACTTTTATCAAGCATCTCACTCGGTCTTTCTGCTGGAATGTTGTATCCCTCTCAGCTGTGGCTTTGGCCCTGGCAGGCAGGGCTGGAAGCCTTCTCCTAAATGATCTCAATTGTGTCAATGGTGGTGCGAAATACGTACTAAAAAAAAAAAAGAAAAAAAAAAGGTTTTTAGCATTGTTTAAAACATGTTAGTGTTGTAGATTCTTGTTGCTTATTGAGGCAGACAAATAGGAATGTGTGGGTGGTTGATTGGTGCTCTTGTGTGGTTTGCTTCTTCTTTCCTATCTAACATCTGTCGTCTTTATTTCTCCTCCTTTTTTAAAATGTTTGTTGCTCTCTTGTAACACCTCTAATCTTCGGCACTTATATGACCTAATTGTGTTGCAAGTGCCGTAAAATGCTTACCAAGAGTTTTTTAAAAGTAAAATATGAATTTTCTGTTTGTTCTTCCACAGTTTGCTGCTTGATAGAGAAGTGTTCCTTGTCCAAGCTGCCCTTTCACAACAAACCAGTGATAGGTGAGTTGTTCGGAGGGATGTGACAACCTTTTGTCCAGTTTCGTCTCTCCTTGATCTCAAGAACCCTCCTCTTCTGCTCATAACTAGTTCTCCTGCAGTTGCATATTATATAAGTAACACGCATAGCTAAAATGTGCTTCAATTACAGCAAGTTAAATTGTATATTATTGTGTGACCTTCTGTGAAGAGATCTGATCTGTTGATCAAATAGCTGGGAAGTTCGTTTTCTGAGTAGTTTCTTATTTGAAAATTCTGTTTTCTGAGTAGTTTCTTATTTGAAAATTCTGTTTTCTGAGTAGTTTCTTATTTGAAAATTCTGTTTTCTGAGTAGTTTCTTATTTGAAAATTCTGTTTTCTGAGTAGTTTCTTATTTGAAAATTCTGTTTTCTGAGTAGTTTCTTATTTGAAAATTCTGTTTTCTGAGTAGTTTCTTATTTGAAAATTCTGTTTTCTGAGTAGTTTCTTATTTGAAAATTCTGTTTTCTGAGTAGTTTCTTATTTGAAAATTCTGTTTTCTGAGTAGTTTCTTATTTGAAAATTCTGTTTTCTGAGTAGTTTCTTATTTGAAAATTCTGTTTTCTGAGTAGTTTCTTATTTGAAAATTCTGTTTTCTGAGTAGTTTCTTATTTGAAAATTCTGTTTTCTGGGTAGTTTTGCTTTAAACATTTTTTTTTTTTTTTGGTAGTTTCTCATTTACATATTCTGCACTCTGGGAACTTTCTCAATTTCGGCTTATTCACGTGCAAGAGTTCTTTTGTTTTCTTCTACCTTCCTTTGGCAGTTTCTTTTTTTGTGTAAGCTGTATATCAACATTTTGAGATGATTTGACCCTGGCCTCTTTTGAAATTCTCAAACCCTTGATTTTTTTATTATTATTATATGAACATAGTAATTGTCTGACAGCAGCACTGACTCATTCTCTCTTTGTCCTCTCTCTCCTGCCAGAGCTGTGGCAGTCGGTGATTGACGAGTGTCTCACGCACATTGAGCCGGAGATTCAGGTGAGTTTATGTATCATCGGTGGTCTAGTGGTCAGACTGTTGGGCTCGCAACTGAACTTATTGTCAGGGAAGTGATGTTGTGTTCTTCGGAAAGGCACTTTACAGCCACCTATTTTCGAGAAGAAAAGTGGTTGTCTTGGATAGGTTGACTTCTCAAACAGTGCCATTACAGTTTGTTAAAAACCTAAGAAGAGAAATTGGAAATGGTCATTTGTACAGGTAAATTGTAATGTCTTAGACAGGTAGCCGCTAGAGCAGGTTTGACAGTAATTATGTTTCAAATTTATTGCTTACCGAATTTGAGTAAAGCAGTCTGCTGCCTGCCCACTATGTGACTACCCCTCAGAGACAGTGGAACATCATCTGTTCTTCTGTAGAAAACAAACTGATTTAAGGGGATGTTTTCTTCCCAAGCTACCCCACACATCTAATTGCCTCTACTCCTCAAGACAACAATTAGAACAAACATGCAACTATTACCGAATGGCATCATGCAGAAGAGTTAACGCTCAGATGCTACTGGATCGCTAACAACAACAACAACAACAAATTTATTGCTTTGTCCATGTCGCCACCTTCTTGACGTTGTTACTGGTCCTTACCACTTTTTCAAACCTGACATTGTTGCTGGTCCTTTACCTGCTGGAGGCTCTTGTGATGACCACAATGACATCATACTGTACGTTCTGTCCTTTTTTGTCTTTTTCTGTCTTTTTTACTTTTGCCCAGTGCTGAATCACTGTTATTGTGTCGATGTCAACTTTCTATTTGCTCAAGCTCTCTCTTTACTTTAATTAACTCTCTCTTTGCCCAAACTATTTCTTTGCTGTCTTTGCTTAAACTCTCTCTTTACTCAAATCTGTCCCCTCAGGCAGCCGCTGTTGCAGCCATCCCGTCTTTCTTCTCGGAGTATTTCACCAGACCCGACGGCTCCGTGCTCCAGGACAAGCAAGGTGTGTGTTCTGTTGGTGTACGTCCAGCCACCCAGCTGTGATGCTGTTGTATGCACAAAATGTAGTTTAAAAAAAATAATAAAACGAAGTTACACATTGTGTTTATTTTGGCAGTACACAATGGCTATCTCATGATTTTGTCAAATTTACTGAGCCAAAAAATTATTATAGTATAAATTATTTCTTTGTAGTAGCTGTTTGTGCAGGGTTGTTTTTTTTAACATAGTTTCTTAATTATTTCCTCCCGTTCAGTTCTCTTGGAGATGGGCATTAGAATCAGAGGTTCTGCCTCTTGGGTATCCATATAGTGTCGCATGGGGTGTTTCCCTTATACAAATTTGTTTTTTGGAAAGTTCATAGATTTTTTTGGTTTGTTTTGCTCTCAATGGTATCATTATCCTTGCTTCACATGTCTATTTTCTTTTTGTTTTTTTCACAGAATCTATTTTATCTCACTATTTGCAAGAGCTCAAGTCTTCCAATGAACCGACAAGGTGAGACCAATGACTGATAGGCCCAGCCCGTTAAAAGTGGTATTTTTATAAACTGCAAAGAAAAAGAAACTGACATTCCTTGTACACCTGCGTCGCCAGCCAAAAATATTTTTTTTCCCTTTTATGTAAAATGTTGTATTAAGTGTTTTTCATATGATGGTGAAGATTGTTTGTACGTCTTTTGTTCTAGTGAAGCAGTTTGTGTTCTTGCTTTTAGGTGGGATGTGAACCCGGTCGGTTTTCTCTTTCAGACAAGGTCACAGTCTTGCCCTGGGTGCTTTGCCTCGTGCCATGCTTCAAGGTCAGCTGTCAAGGGTCATGGCCGGACTCATTGCTGTGTCAGAGGTCACGCAGAAAGAGGAAAAAATGGCTGAAGCGAGGAGAGACGCTGTCAAGGCGTTGTCTGGGTAAAAATATCGCTCTGTATGCTTGTGTGGCTTGCCTTGTGTGGGTAAATACACCACAGTGTGACTTGGTTATTATAGTTACAATAAGGACATAAATGATAATGAAGTCCATATTTGTGTCCATGCCGGTCAATATCAGTCATATGAAGGAAATTTCAAAACTGAGTTAACATTATTTTCAAACACTATGACCTTTTCCCTACAATTTAAAACAAGAATGAAGTAAATATGACTCTATTTGACGAAAATACAGAACTTTTAATTGTGCAAGGTGAGGAAACAGGAAAAGGAGAAAATGGCCTCCGAAGTTGAACAACATGTTTCCTTAGCAATGGGAGTCTTAGAATTGAGATAAAGACTTAAAATTTATAGTCGATGATAGTCGTTTAATTTTATCTTAAATGGAGCAGAAGACATCAAACTTTCAATTGATCCAAAAAACAAACATTTCATCGAAAGTCACTTTTTGGCCTTTCGAGCCTCATAGCTGATAATAGCACACTGCGTCTTATGACTGGTATTGACCGCGGGAGACATTTATAGTGCCTATCTCAGAGTGGCTGTATGTGCTTTACTGTGTTCACAATCAAAATGAAATGAAATGCATCTAACATACATGTACTTCACTCAAGTACAGTCAGGTGCATAGCTCTTATTATTATTACTCTTGTCTCTCTGTGTATTTCACTCTGTATGCATTCTATGTGTGTTGTATTAGATTTCTTATGTGTCCAAACTTTAGGGACAAAAGTTTGTAGTCTGTTTACAGAAAATTTGTTTTAGGCTAAGCAGATTAAAGAAAAGACATAGGACATTTATATTCAAATTTATTTTCAACTCTTGACCCTTTGAGTGCTGAAGCATTTTTGTTTAAATTTGTACAGACAAGAAAAATGTTTATTCAAGAGAGATTTAAACGAAGCCATAGAATATTTCTCATATTACGAATAAGAAACTGCACAAGCTGCAGATATGTGTCTTTTAAAGAACTCTCTATAAGCTTGAGGAAAAAATGGGAGTGAACCAGTAGTAGAGAACAGGAGTGAGTACATGATGTTTGCATAGTCGTGAATAGGTTAATTGGCGTAATGCCTGTTTGTTAGACCGCAGCATTTGAGAGACAGTGATCAGTTTTATGCCTGTTTGTTTCCCCTCAACATTTGTGAGACAGTGGTCAGTTTTATGCCTATTTGTTTGCCTCCGGCATTTGTGAGACAGTGGTCAGTTTTATGCCTATTTCAGGGTTCCTGCGGCCTCCTTGAACTCAAGTATTCCTTGAAAACTCCTTGAATTTGCATTCAAGGAAAAATCTCCTTGAAAAATCATTGAATTTGAGGAACCTCCTTGAAAACTCCTTGAATTCCGTTGGATTGGATATGGACAAAATTTTTGTCAGAAAATCGAAACTACGATTCCTTTCGGACAAGTGCAGGCCCATTGTAAATAGGCTTTAGGCATGGATTTCTTGACCAAATCTCCTTGAATTTTAAAAATTTCTCCTTGAAACCTCCTTGAATTTGGTGAGTTCATGGCAGGAACCCTGCTCTTTGTTTGCCCGCAGCATTTGTGAGACGGTGGGTGTGGCCAATGATGGGAAGGCGGACAGCGTCCTGTGCTCAGCCAACGTGGCCACAGTCTACTCGGCGCTGCTTCAGGCCATCAAGGACTACACGCTAGACAGTCGCGGCGACATCGGGGCTTGGTATGTTCCCCATTTCTCTTTTCTGTCTGTCTGTCTGTCTGTCTGTCTGTCTGTCTGTCTGTCTGTCTGTCTCCTTTTGATTTTCCCCCAGATACAACACCTTGTGGAATTGAATGCACACGGCACTTGCACACACACAAGCACACTCACACACTCGCATATACACGTACACACACACATGCACTTTTAAGTGGCATGCAACATCATGTCGCAAGATTACCTTTTAACTCCCCCCCCCCCCCCACAAACACACACACACACCCTTTCTCAGGGCTATCTTGATACATGCTCAGAACTCCTAGAACACGTGAAGTAATAGCCGTGGTGAATTGTTGGTGCTGCTCTGATGTGGTTCGCTTCTTCTTTCCTTACAAACATCTGTCGTCCTTATCCCTCCTCCTTCTTTGCTTTGTATGTCACTCTCTAGTAATACCTCTAATCTTCAGCACTTATATGTTCTATTTGTGATGCAAGTGCTGTAAAACTCTTGCTAAAACTAAATCTACAACTAAAACTGAACTAGTATTGTAAATTTTGATTAAAATTGAAGATGGATTGTATCGGAAGTATGACATGTTTGTGCTTTTTATGCCCCCCCCTCCCCCCTGACCACCTCATTTTATTTCCATATGTGAGGCGTGCTAACAAAATGAGTTACTCCTTGCAATCCATGAATGGAGATATCAACCAAAAATTAACAGAAGGGTCATATTTGTAGACTCTAAACCAATGCCATTCTCTTCAAGTTTAACATGTCTTTTATCATTTCATACTGATAAATTGTAAAACTTCAACCTATAAATTTGATGTTTTTATACCCATCGGTCTAAAACCTGAGAAGTAACTCATTTTGTCAACACACTTCTCATATGCATTTTCAATCTTGTGTGACGTCTTCTGTTCTCCCCAGGGTGCGTGAGGCATCGATGCAGGCGCTGCATGACGTCACCAGCCTCATCGTCAGGTCAGACCCCCAGATGCTGACACCTGATATGTAAGTCCACGCTGAAGATAAGTCATAGTGTATGTGCCAGGAAAAAAGGGTGTGTTGTTGTTTCAGTTTGTTATGCTCGCTGTGGACAGCACCGGTTGGAATCTCAGATATGCTGTTCTACATCTCTCTTTAAAGTTGAGAATTTTTCATGGCTCTATGTGAGGTGAAGGTTATTGTTTATTTCATGTTCTTGGCTTGATCCTATCAGAGGTGAATGTTTTATTTTATTTCACATTCTTGGCCTATCAGAGGTCAACGTTATGTTTTATTTACGAAGTCTTGTCTTTTGCTATTTAAAAAAAATTTGTTTGCGTATGACATGTGTAATTATTTTTTATGTCTGTCAATCATTTCTGTGTCCTCATTTTTGAGTCGTGTTCTTTATTTTTCTTCATCAGAAGTTGTTTAATGTATTGTTGAATTCAAATTGGATGGTGTGTCAAAAGTACTGCTATGTAATTTTTCCACTGTTTGATATCTTTTTGTTAATAATAACTACTATTGGTTTTCATTTTTGAAGAGCACTATAGTGATGGGTAAAAACTCAGAAAAATATCAAATTGCAAAAAAATGAAGTTAGTCAGAGTCTTGCATTCAACCATCAATATGCCCCTAGGGCCTTAGGGTTCAGTGAGCTTAAAAAAAATTAATGGTCACTCGTGTAACACTGAATGGGTCATTGATATTTTGGAAGTTGGACATTTTAAAAAGTGTAGTTTTTATATGGTTTATATTATGTTTGTAATTGTATATGATGTTTGTAATTGTTGTAATTTCTAGTTCAAGTGGTTTCCAAGTTCTGTTTGTTCTGTGCTATTTCAATCTGCAGCAAGATTTCAGTTTTTATGAAATTTATTGCAAGGGGAAAAAATCTTTTGGCAGTACGAAACCCAAATGTGCAGTGTGAGCGAGGGTTGCTTGACTCGTATTCGGATGAGACATCTGCCTGTGCATTGGGGGGGGGGGGTGTGCTTCACTGGCTCGTTTGGTCTGTGTCAGCGGTAGGGTGGGGCTAGAACATGCATTATTTTTTTTTTTTTGGTTAAGTTTTAATTCAGAATACTCTTATCGTGGATGGTTGGCAGGTGCTCTTGTGTGGTTTGCTCCTTCTTTCCTATCAAACATCTGTCGTCCTTATCGCGCCTCCTTCTTTTTTGTGTATGTTACTCTCTTGTAACACATAATCTATTCTTCGGCTCTTATATGACCTTATTGTGTTGCAAGTGCCGTAAAACTCTACAAGAACTAAAAGAATACTCTCATCTTCCCTTCATTAGCTGCAAGCGAGTCTTTTGCTCTCTGGTACAGCAAGCCGTAGAGAAGATTGACAGAACGAGGAGTTTGGCTGGTCATCTCTTCAGCAAGCTTATCTATCACAGGTTTGTTTGTGTGTGTGGGGGTGTGTGTGTGTGTGGGGGTGGATTTGTGTGAGTGTGTTTGCATGTGTGTGTTTTATGTGGGTTTCTCTGTGTGTGTTTTTGTGTCTATGTATGCCTGTATATTTGTGTATATGAGCAAATGTGTTTGTGTATGTGTGTGCGTGGGTTTCTCTGCATATGTTTTTTTCTGTGCAGTCTGTTTTTGTGTCTGTGTGTTCCTGTAAATGTGTGTGTGTGTGTGTTTGTAATTGTGTGTCTGTGTCTGTCTATGTGTGACCCCCCCAGGGCAGTGCCACTGACTGAAGTGTCTTTAGGCCATTCCCAAAGGGGGGACATTTCTCTTTCAAACATAGTAGAATTGTAAATGGGCTGACTCATGTCTCACTCATAACTGTGCCTGATCTACAACAAGGAACTGCTGCTTTTTCTTTCTTGATCCTTACTATTGTCATTTTCCTCTTCTTCTTTTGTACGTTTGTCACTCTCTTGTGACCTGCTATTTCCGGGGTGCCTTGATAGTCGAAGCAGACCTTGTACTGTTGAAGCTAGAGAGGTGAGCTGATTCCCTGTAAAGACTTCTCTGTTGACACCCACCCCTTGGCGCTCATATGACATAATGCAGTTGCGAGCGCCGTAAAACCCTCTACTATAAAAAAAAAATGTCTATATGTGTCTGTGTGCATGTGTGTTTGTCAAAGTGCGTTTGTTTGTGTATGTGTGTGAATGCGTGTGTGCATGTATTTTTGAGTGTATATTTGACGATGTGTACGTGTTTGTGTTTGCGTGGGTGGTTGGCGGGTGCTCTGGTGTGGTTTGCTTCTTCTTTCCTATCGAACATCTATCGTCTTTATCTCCCCTCCTTCTTTTTTTGTGTTTGTTACTCTCTTGTAACACCTCTAATCTTCGGCACTTATATGACCTGATTGTGTTGCAAGTGCCGTAAAACTCTTACTGAAACTAAAAAACATCTGAGTTTGCGCAATGACATGTGTGTACTTATTGGTGTCTGTATTTGCGTGCATGCAAACTGAAAAAAATTGACAGAATGAGAAGTTGAACTGGTGATTTTATTTTCAGTATCACACCAACTATCACAATTACCTACCCGTACATTCTCAATGTGGGTGGTTGGCGGGTGCTCTGGTGTGGTTTGCTCCTTCTTTCCTGTCAAACATATATCCCCGGTGGGTGGTTGGCGGGTGCTCTGGTGTGGTTTGCTCCTTCTTTCCTATCAAACATCTATCGTCCTTATCTCCCCCTCCTTCTTTTTTATGTTCGTTACTCTCTTGTAACACCTCTAATCTTCTGGCGCTTATATGACCTTATGCAGTTGCGAGCGCCGTAAAATCTCTATTAAAACTAAACTAAAACATATATCGTCCTTATCTCCCCTTCTTCTTTTTTATGTTTGTTACTCTCTTGTAATACCTCTAATCTTTTGGCGCTCATATGACCTTATTGTGTTGCAAGTGCCGTAAAACTCTTACTAAAGCTAAAACACTATCTCCCTAGGAGACATACTATCAAACTAGCAGACACACTATCAAACTAGCTGACACACTATCTCACTAGGAGACACACTATCAAACTAGCAGACACACTATCTCACTAGCTGACACACTATCACACCAGGAGACACACTATCTCACTAGGAGACACACTATCAAACTAGCAGACACACTATCACACCAGGAGACACACTATCACACTAGGAGACACACTATCAAACTAGCAGACACACTATCACACTAGGAGACACACTATCAAACTAGCAGACACACTATCACACCAGGAGACACACTATCACACTAGGAGACACACTATCAAACTAGCTGACACACTATCACACCAGGAGACACACTATCACACTAGGAGACACACTATCAAACTAGCAGACACACTATCACACTAGGAGACACACTATCTCACTAGGAGACACACTATCAAACCAGCAGCCACACTATCACACCAGGAGACACACTATCAAACCAGCAGACACACTATCTCTCTAGGAGACATACTATCAAACTAGCACATATCAGTTGAACATTGACATGTGCCTTACCAACACATATTATATTCACAACATTTGTGTTTCTTTTCATTTTCCAGTCCCACCGTTCCCCACATACCTCAGGAGAAAGAAGTCAAAGACGTGTTCCCAGAGTAAGTGCACAGAAGTGTCGGTGACGTTCGTCATCATCATTGCCTTTCTCACCCTGGGGCAGGATATAGGCCACGAACAAACACTCTCCACCTTTCCCTATCCTGGGCTAGTCGCTTGATGTCACTCCACGTCTTCCCACTTTTCTGTACATCCATTTCTGTCCAGACTGTATCCAGTGGGTTTCGCTGACTCCTAGTATGTGCGGCCTGTATCTTTTCATCTCTTGTGTCACTTGAGAACTCTTTCCTGCTTCATACATGGTGTGAACATTCCATGACACAATCCGGAGAGACTTGTTCGACAGAGAAGATTTGGGGTCGGAAGAGTCCTTTCGGCTTTGTCCGCTGTCCTTCATTGTTCCTGCTGATGCAGAAGCTCCTCCGTCTCCCAAGATGGAAAAATTATAAGGCATGTTCGTTCGTGTTTCTATAACTTTCCTTTTTTACTGGGTCGGGTAGTTGGCCCTCCGCAAAGTGTCACTTTTCGGGTGGCCAGACCTATGCACCTTTAGTTGCCTCTTACGACACGCAGTATCGCGGCAGGTGTATTCTTTACTCCCCCATAGTAAAACTATGGGGGCCCCCCCTCCTGCAGGGGCGGTCAGTGACGTTGGTGACTATTAAACTTAGAGGCGGACACACGGCCCTAACACACAAATACCTCCTTCAGGGAGATGAGAAGCCGTTCTGTGTCGAATGCGACACAGATTTTACCATTAGGCCATAGACCTATTATTAGCCGAGACTGCGCGTCACGTGACTTTCGATATGCACACAACATGGCTGCCCCCTGTCAAAACAGTTGGGCAAGCTGAGAGAGCGAGGTTTGAGCGTTATCAGCAGGATTTCGTTAGATCTACACGATGGTTCAAAATTGCTGTGTCGTCTTTTGCAACAACAGAAGTTTCAAGGGATGTTCAGTTTCATTTCACAGGTAAGGATTTCTTTGTTACTGCCTTTTATATTATAAATTATGGGAATAACAATGAATGAAGAAAGTGAAGAAAGGCCAGAGGACGCTAACAACACCAAGAAAAAGACAAAGAAAGCTAAGATCTATCTAGACTCTAGATCTAGTAAGCCTCCCTCTACTCTCTGGCTCCCACTCAGAGTATGAATACCAGATTTAAAATGTCCAAAGCTATTACTATTACAGTGATGATCGAATCAGTCAGTTTGAAAGCATCCCAATCAATCCAAGCCTTAACAAAGTTAGTAGAGTCTATGCATTCAACAACATTATTGATTTTATTAATGAACATTGCTTTGACTCTCCCCTTAGGGATTATGCCGCGCTAACGGTCAAAACAAAAGTTCATTAGTTCGCATACCCACCAAGTACATATACTTAATATCAAAACACCAGGCTTTGGTAGGTCATGTAAAGCAGTGTAGTCTTACCCCGCAAAGTACACAGTGACAGTGCTTCAGAGACATAAAATGTGTGCCTTGTGCTGTGGGCAAACCTCCCTACCCCCCCCCCCCCCCCCCCCCCCCTTCCTCCCGTGGCAGTCTCAGTGCCTCGCCTTTCCAGCTTCCAGCCCCAGCATGCGGTCATAAAGTAATAAACAGCCCTTACAAGGATGCTATGTCAATAGGCTCGAGGTCAATAAAAGTTGCGCAGTGTGTAGTGTGCACCTGGCACTGCTCAGTCTTTGTTAGGTACTCCTAACTTCTCTTGTTTCAGTGTATAGTTGGGTGAGCTTACGTCTCAGCTTCGTGTACATTCTCTCATTACACGTTTCAAAACGTCGACACGTTTACTGCTCTGTCCCAGCACAATAAGAGTTTAGGCCTATTCTGTTGCTATTACAGCCCTACATTGTAGAGGTTTATTCTCTAAGTCTAAGCCTCAAGACCGTCATGTTTCGCCATAGCAATGAAACAGAAAAACCTTAGTTTTGAGTGAGATGAAACTTAAACTCTTTGCTGATGTGTGTACAAGAAACTGCTATGTAAAAAAAGAAATCGCAGCCAAGTACGGTTCTAAAAAATAATGATGTATTTTAACAGCTGATCTCTCCTTATTTTTTCCACTTTGGCTTTGTATTTTACTTATCGACATGTATTATAATTATATTGGCCTCAAATCCTCTTCCCAAAGGATAACTGAGAGTTATAACATTAACAGTGTTTAATTGTGTTTCCTCAACTGAATTGAACTCTTATTTTTTTTTTTCATTCTTTTCGTCAGCTTCCCCCATCCCATCAAAGATGCTGAGCGGAGGCAAAAATGGATCTCTGCCATCAGCAGAGCTGAACCTGACGGCAAACCTTAGATGCCGAAGAAAAACGACAAAGTATGCAGTGAACACTTTCTGCCAATAGATTATGTGGATGGAAAAGAAAGACATACTCTGAATGGAAAGGCTGTACCATCTAAGTTTCCTGGCTATCCAGCTCACAAGCAACAAGCCGACAAGAAACGTCCATCACCAAACAAACGTAAACTTCCGTTACCAGAAGAACCATCCCCAAAACGTCCAACTTTAAACCCTTCAGTGTCTGTTGGGCTTGACCACACTTATCACTCGCCTTCTACTGAAGTCAAAGTCCAACAGCTCCAGAAGAAATGGAAAGAGGCATGTGGCAAATTAAAGGAAAAGAACAGGGAGGTGAAATTACTCAGTGAGAAATTGAAGAGACGAGAGTCTAAGATCTCGACGCTACTGGAGAAGCTGCAGGAGCTCAAGCTTATAAACGAGGAACACTGCGAAATCCTGAAGGAAAATTTTCCGGAAAACACGTTCTTGCTCATTGAGAATGAGTTGGCACAACAGGGGAAACTCAAGTCTCAGCTGCGATATTCAGATGAAATCAAAGCATTCGCTGTAACACTGCACTATTACAGCGCTGCTGCATATGAGTATCTTAGTACGTTCCTCCATCTTCCCCATGCAGCATCGATCAGGAGGTGGGTGTCATAGTACAATGTAGAGCGTTTAAAAGTTGAGCCAGATATGAAGGATGTGGTACTCATGTTTGACTCCATGAGTATCAGGAAGGAGTTAGTCTATGTGCAAAGCAAGGGGGAATACATAGGCTGTGTAAATCATGGCTACTTACAGCCAGCTAGTGAGGAGGAACTAGCAACTGAAGCACTGGTCTTCATGGCAGTGGGTATGAAGAAGTTTTTTAAATACCCAGTTGCCTACTTCCTGGTAGACAAGATCACTGCTCAACAGCTGAGCCAGCTTGTGAAGGATTCGGTTACTTTGCTGTCAGAGGCTGACTTCACAACGAGGGCTGTGGTTTGTGATAGTGCCCTGTCTAATCAAGCCACGGCTACAAAATTGGGTTGTGTCATCACATCCACAGAGGTGAACCCCACATTCCCGGATCCAACCAACGTGAACAGGAACATCTATTTCTTGTTTGATGCAGCTCACTTGCTAAAGAATGTTAGAAATTGTCTTGGTGACCGAAAGGTTTTAAAAGTTGACAATCAGGATGTGAGGTGGAAATTCATTTGCCAGCTTCATAATCTACAGTCAAAACACACTTTGTTTCTGGCTAACAAGCTCAGAGCCAAGCACATCGACTATGTGAAGAATAAGATGAAGGTGAGTTTGGCTGCTCAAACGCTAAGCTCTTCAGTAGCTAATGCCATAGACTACCTCAGATATGAAATGAATGTTCCCGAATTCGCTGGGAGTGATGCGACAACCTTATTCATCAGGACCTTTGACAGAATTTTCGACATGTGCAATGCAAGCAACTGTCTCGGAAAAGGACTGAAATCCCCAATTTGTGTGAAAAACTTTGAAGAGAGGTGCGAGTTAGTGGACAATGCCATAACTTAAATTTCTTCGATCTGTGATGCAAATGGCAACTCCATCCTTACAGTGCGACGGAAGGCAGGATTTCTTGGCTTTATTGCCACCTTGAAGTCTGTGATAGGGTTGAGTCGAGACTTACTTTTCGATTCCGGATACAGATTTGTGTTGCCCTTCCGTCTTTCTCAAGACCACCTGGAGACATACTTTAGTAAAATTAGAAGACGTGGTGGCAACAACAACAATCCCAATGCCCTCCAACTTCAGTGGGCTATGAGGGCATTACTGCACAGAAATGGGGTTGGCTCCTCTGCTAATGCCAACTGCAGAGCAATCCCAGAGGTAAACAACACGCTCATTGAGGATGCAGTAGCTTCAGATGCGACACCACAAATCAGGGAAGAGGAGTCTTTCCATAACGAGAGTGGATCGAGAGGGATGCCGGAGTCAGAAAGTCCACACCCTGACAAGGTGAATTTACTTATGTGTCCTGGCCTCTGTCACAACCATGTGCTTCATTACATTGCTGGCTTCATGTGTCGGAAGATCCAGAAGAAGATTAAGTGCAGCACATGCGCAGCACATGCGCAGCATTCTTGTCCACCTCAACTTCTTCCTCAGACGCGGCAACATTTACCAGGATTCGAGACAGGGGTGGACTAATTTATGCCAGCGACGATTTGCTAAATGTAGTCAAAACAGCTGATCGGTGTCTACAACGACTGCTCGTCACAGAGAAAGGAGGTCCCTTGTTGTCTGTGTCAGCTCTCACCACACGACTGGTGACACAAGAAGTTCTTGAGTCTGTGGGACTAACATCTTTTCAGGACCTTAAAGCCCATTGCCTTGAGAATCACTCAATCGAGCACCAAGATGACCATGCCACCCAGATAATAAAGGAGTTATGTGCAGTCTTCTGCAACCTAATGCTCACACACCATGGAAGGCTATTTAATGAACGCTTTGTTAGGAAAAACGAAGGATCGCAGCGTCACAAGTTGGCAAAGACGATCCTCTTCCTTCACGTCTAAGTGGCTACCCCTCCCCTGGATTACACTTGGATGCCCACAATGAGCTGGTGAGTACAGAAAATAACTTGTGTAACAAACACATCTCTCAGTCTCTCTCTCTCCTCACTCTTAAGAACTGTGTACATCTTTCATCTTTGTTGTCATTATAAAGTCATTTTCCCTTTCCTTCATCTCTATCTTTCTCTTGCCCCTGAACTGAATTATTCTTCTCCTGCCCAAGACAGTATGCAACCAACTTGATTCTTTCCTTCCCTTTGCTTCATGTTAAAAATGTATGCCACCTTAATCTCCTTTTACTAAAAAATATAAGTACCGGTTTGAAATGAACAATGTACGTGGGTGGGCAGGTGTTGTGCACTCCTTCTTTCAACTAGATCTGATATTCATCCAAGTGTCTTAAATCTACTGAGTTCTATTTTCGTTCTTTTACTTTTTAGTTTCAAGTAGCTGTGCATCTGTTCTTATTTGTTTGTTTTCTTGGCTATTTTCAAGTTACAAGTAGATTCTTATGATTATATGCGTTTGTCCATAGACTCTACTTTTAATTTTATGATGAGATATCAGCGTGCGGTGACCGAAACTTGATGTGTGTTGTCATAACAGCGGAATTTTGTATTAGATCCACTCTAACTTTATGTCCTTAATTTTATCATCACTGTGGTACGCGTATTGTTCTTTATAATTAAAAAAATTGTGGTATTAATTTCATCCATTACATTTGATACCTCTGTCCCTGTTAGTTACACCTAGAGATAGAAACAATAAAACGAACGCAGTACGAATGCTAAGTCAGGGCCGCGAAAGGCCTCTCTAATCTAGTCAGCCGCCCAGGCAGTAGCGAGCGATTTTTGCCCAACTGTTCCGCCATTACTGTCTGCCCTAGTGCGCTGGCTGGGAAGGGAGGGCTGGCGTAGCCCGTGCGCAGTCTCGGCTAATTATAGGTCTATGCATTAGGCACATTTTAACCGAATGTCTACACTTTGGAGAGATCCGAAGGGAATACTTTAAATGCAAAAAATTGCAAGACATTTTTTCCGTCATTGGTCCCAACAGAATTTTGGATTTTATGAAGGCCATTGGCTTTATGGGAAGTTGTAGAACAGAATTAAATTATTAAAAATTTTTATGAAGGTTATTTTAGATTGAAAAAATATATATTTACACCAAATGTTAAACATTTTAACGCTTTAAGATGAAATGACCCGTACCCAGCCGTGCAGTGGACTGCGAATAAAACACTTACTTGTGTTTCGCGCGCTCATATGACCTTATGCAGTTGCGAGCGCCGTAAAACCCCATACTAAACTAAAAAAACTTAAAGGATCACCCTTTTCATGACTTTCAGACTTTCTAAGTGGATGATTGGCGGGTGCTCTGGTGTGGTTTGCTCCTTCTTTCCTAAAAAATCTATCGTCTCTATCTCCCTCCTTCTTTTTTGTGTTTGTTTCTCTCTTGTAACACCTCTAATCTTCAGCACTTGTATGACCTTATTGTGTTGCAAGTTCCGTAAAACATTTTCTAAAACTAAGACTTTCTAAAGGTAGTGTGTGTTCACGTCTGCTTATGAAATCTTGTTGTCTCAAATTGTTTAAATTTTTTTCTTACTGAGGTTAATTGTTTTCTTATCTCACAATGATTTTGTGGGTGGTTGATGGGCACTCTTGTGTGGTTTGCTTCTCCTTTCCTTTCGAATGCCTATCGTCCAATTAACGCTTTCTAGACGTCATTTATTTCAGCAGTCGAAACCATTTTGACATAATTAGTTTTAAATCCGGAGAATCATTTTGAGGGTATGTAGATAAAACGGCTTTTACAGATGATGTAGTTAACATTTAGTGGCAGTTATATATCATTAGAAAGGTAATTGGATGTTGATGTTCACTAAAGCAATACAATGGAAATAACGAAGCAAACTTTGGACCCTATTCGAATTGCTAATATGTCCAAATGTGTTCCTAGTTTCAATTAAAATGTCAACTGAAGTCATTTCTGTTTTTTAATTGATAAGATAAATATTTAGAGAGATTTTCTTTTGGTCAGAACACAACGTTTTATGTTTCTGTTGTATTTTAAAGGTCTGAGAGCCTGTGTACTTTAATCGGGGTTGAGCGCTGTAGAAATGTCATGTATTATTATTATTATTATTATTTTTGTTATTATTATTATTTTTTTTATTTATTATTAGAAAGTTACCATTAAATCAGTGATACTTTCGAGAAATGTTCCTAAACTCCTGTTGCACCCCCCAGGGCGGTACTACTGACTGAAGTCTCAGAAGTGTCTTTAGACCATTCCCAAAGGGGGGATATTAACCATGTTCTTATGCACAGTAGAATTGTAATTGTAAATGGGCTGATTCATCAATGTCATGCTCATGACTGTGCCTGAACTGCAACAGGGAACTGCTGCTTTTTCTTTCTTATTGCTTACTATCGTCATTTTCCTCTACTTCTTTTGTACCTTTGTCACACTATTGTGTCCTGCTATTTCCGGGGTGCCTTGATAGTCGAAGCAGACTTTGTGCTGTTCAAGCTAGAGAGGGGAGCAGAGTAAGTCTGATGCCCTGTAAGGATTTCTCTGTTGACATCCACCAATTGGCGCTCAAATGACCTTATGCAGTTGCGAGCGCAGTAAAACCTCTACTTAAACAAAACGAACAAAATTGTGTACATTAATAGGGGTTGAGCGCTATATAAATCATTTATGATTATGATGATGATGATGATTATTATTATTATTATTATTATTATCATTATCAATATTATTAAAATTTTATTATTATTTGAAAGTTACTGTTAAATCAGTTGTTTTTTCTGTTTCCTCGTTCTCGATGACGGCAGCTAGACAGTCAGTCCGATGTCGCGCACAAACTGTGCAGTTCACTTCAACTCTGAGAGGCTTCCATAGAGCTTTCTCTCAAGGAGAGCCACATTCTGCCACGTCTGTGTACAAAGGGTGGCGTAGCGCGGGCAATGCTGAAGGATATGGTTGGCATCCTCTTGGTCATGTCCACATTCACAGATCGCTGACTCTCCCTCTTTTAATTTGATGTGCATATGGTGTTTGAGTCTGTTGTGGCCACAACCGAGTCTAAAGATTGTGACCTGGTCTGCTCTATTTAGCATGTAGTAGGGGTTAAATCAGTGATACATTCTAGAAAAGTTACTACACTCTCGTTTCATGTTTTCGGCAGGGTGCTGGCCAAGGGAACTAACTGGAGTGCTGTGTCGGACACGTACACAATGTTCTCACGTTTGCTGGCTCTGGACGAGTATACGTATAACGTGCTGCTGGGACTGGTCATCAGTGTTGGGGGACTCACGGAGTCTGTGGTCAGTTGTCTGCTACTGATTGTGTGTGTGTGTGTGTGTGTGTGTGTGTGTGTGTGTGTGTGTGTGTGTGTATGTGTGAAATGTCAAATCGGTGGTGGTGTGCCGAAACGGTTGTAAATTTTTGCCCTTCGTTTATAAAGTTACAGTGGGAAAATACATCTTGAATGGCCCCGCGCTGTATGAAATGACTCACGGTTGTCATACAGTCAGTGGGTGTGCACCGGGTACTGGAGTGACAGACACACATAACAATAGGCCACTTGACACGTTGAAGTACACAGTATATCCGAGCGACACACAAGTAGTCGTGGGTGGTTGGCGGGTGCTCTGGTGTGGTCTGCATGCTCCTTCTTTCCTATCAGGCATCTAAAAATAATAATAATAATAGATAGCATTTTTATAGCGCATATCCCCGCTCAACAGCAGGCTCTATGCGCTTTACACTATATTATTACCCCTATAGTCCTGATCTCTCCTCTTTCTATTTTGTGTTTTTTACTCTCTTGTAACACCTCTAATCTTCTGGCACTTCTATGACCTTATTGGGTTGCAAGTGCCGTAAAACTCTTACTAAAACTAAATAGGTGAGGAATGCTATGCACTGTGTCCACCTGCTTCGTCCGACATCATGGGGCTGTTATCTCGACATGTACTAGGGCTGTGCAATGAGTCGCTTTTGCAAAATCCGGATAACGACTGTGTTAGTGCATCTCTTTGGCAATTAACTGTGTTATGAACCGCTTCGACAAATGGGTTAGAACTGGGTTAGAACCACTGCAACAAATGGGTTAAGCTTGGCAGTTTAAGAGTCTGAATTCGGACAATGTTTCATTGAGAATTATCCGGTTATCCGGGTATGTTATCAGGATTTTCCCCACCAGTTACGACATGTACCAGGTTTGAGAGACGTGGAGTGTGCTTTTGGTGTGAGGAGACCGTGAGATAAGCGGGGTTGTTTTTT